GACTCCTTTATACTCAAATTTAAAGGCTAACCAAAATGGCACAACATCAAAGAGGAGAAATAAATAGAAAATCAACTCTTAACCCTTACCCATAGTGTATCCACCTAATCAACTTACACATCACTCACAGAGACTGCAGTCAGGTCACTTACACTTTCTATCAAGTTTTTATTGAGCACGTCCTATGTGCTTAGCACTGTGCTGGACTCTACAGGTACAAGGTATATACAAAGCATGGGTCCTGCCCACAAGGAGCTTACAATATGGTTAAGTATTAAAAAAATGACAAAGCTCTTAAAATACATATTGTACAATCATTTTTATATAAAAAAGCATTTCAGATAATAATAAAATAAGGACAAAAATGAAATGGAAAACAGTTTTATCCATGGGATGAGCCTAGAGATATTTTGAATTAACAAAACAATTTATTAATAAGCCTGGATTAATGGAAAATATGAGCACAAATGTTTTAAACAGAGCTTTAATCATTTTAGCAATCATAGTACCTGAAAGTATAGCAATCAAGGTACCGTATTTTCCGGCATATAAGACAACCCCCTAATTTTACAGTTAAAACATAGGTTTAGGCCTATATTTGCTGTATAAGACTACCCCCCACTTCCACAGCAACACCAGTTCTTTTTTTTAATAGACCGCCTCTCTGACTGGCCAAGCTGAGCAGGCTTTTTACTAGAACACAGTGTCGTCTTATACGCCGGAAAATACAGTATATTTTTTACAGATCTTTAAGGTACCTTGATGATTACAATCATCTTAATAATAGATTCCTTTAGAATGTCTTTCAACTAGTGAGGATGTTGATACATTTTGTTCCCCTAAGTAGTACATATGTTGTTTATAACCTGGATTTCATCACTTGTTTAATTTTTTTAAAAATATTTTTTATTGATTTTTTACAGAGGAAGAGAGAGTTAGATAGAGAGTTAGAAACATCAATGAGAGAGAATCATCGATCAGCTGCCTCTTTCACACCCCCTACTAGGCATGTGCCTGCAACCAAGGTACATGCCCTTGACCGGAATCGAACCCGGGACCTTTCAGTCCGCAGGCTGACGCTCTATCCACTGAGCCAAACTGGTTCCGGCCACTTATTTAATTTTTTAAAGTCATTCTTACAGACAGTAAAACTATTGATACAGTCAACTTTGTCTAAATTTTTATATATTTCATGGACCAAAGTCCACTTATAAGACACACATACATATTCTATATAATAAAGAGCTAACATGCTAATTAGAACAGATGGTGGAACAACCTTCTGGAATGAATTTCCAGAACAACCAATGGGCGAGGAGCAGGGTTATGGGGCCCTTGAGGCAGTAGGGGCTGCTACCACCCTCTGCAGGGCAATCGATGCGGGGTGGGGGTGGAAGGGTGGGAGGGATCTGGGGTTGATTGCCCCACAGAGGGTGGGGGCCCCCGGAGCTGCAAGGGCCGAGCTCATTGCATGAATTTTATGCATTGCGCCTCTAGTTTACATATAAAAGATAATGACTGATTTTCTCTTCCTTCTTTGAGAGAATATAGCTTCTGATGGAAGCTCAGACTTCTAACCCTAACTTTTCCTGTGTTTGTTTGTTTGTTTGTTTGTTTGATCTCTCTCTGGCTCTAAAATCTCGGCATGGCTTGGCATGCCTCTTCACATTACTCTGGCCAAACCTCTCTTGGGAGCAGCACAGCTGGGATTGGTTTGTTTTGTTTCACACTGGGTTGCCACGGTGCTGAATAAAAGCACTGATTCTGCAATAAGGTGGGAGTGGGAGTAGAGAGGATTTCATTTCTTCCGATGTAGAAATCATAGGTCAACATTACACCTCTATGTTATATGTAGTCAAGAGCCAGGTCTGTACAGTCCACTTATAAAGCATCTCAATACCACATATTTGTTTTACGTATGGGTCCCATAGAGCTTTACAATAATTACTAGAACTACAATAAAACTTAGATCAAGCACCATTTCTCACATGTAATTTTTAAAGAGTTCCTAAGAAATGTATTTCATTTTGAGGTTTAATTCTATCCTCACTATAACGTCATTACATAGTTATGAGGATCTATGTTTACTGAAGACAATAAAGAAAACAAAGATGAAAACATTTGTTAAGAATAAAAGTAAGTGTGTTACTGAATCATGATTCAGAATATTTGATGTTATAGAGCTTATTATTTTGGGTGGATTAGTATAAAATGGATATTTTTCTGTGGTTTAAGAAGTATTGAAACTATTATATACAGACATATGCTGTCTCTATATCAGGTTTCAAACATATTGGACAAAGATCATTCCTAATTCAGAAATATCTTTACCAAATAGTCACTCTTTTTCAAATCTTCCCAATCATTTTGTTGTTGTTTTTTATGAGTTTCACATACAGAGCCTCAATAAACGTTATTATATCAAATTGCCTGTAATTATTCTGCCTGGATGTAGTAAAGTTTCATATGGAAATTCCCAGGTTGGAAACATGGAAACAAAGGGCTTTATATCACATTTTATGAAATTTTCAACAGTGGATCTTGTATATATGTTGTTCTTTTTCTTTTTTATTTTATTTTAGAATTTACCAAATAAATAACATCTTTCTTGGTGTCAAGTGTTGCACTAGTTCTAAGAGAGCTATAAAGAAAAATCTGAGAAAGGGTCCTGACCATAACTAAATACAATTTTGCCATAGGAAAAAGACATACATGCTGAAAATATTTAGGGAATAAAACAATTCTCTTCAAAATGAGCACTATATGCTTCAGAGTTGTGGATAGAGATAAGTGAAGGAAAAAGATACTCAAATTATTAAAGATTGAAGGACAAGGTGAGATTTAAACATGTGAGAGATGAATAGGTTTTGCATGGGTAAAAATAATCATGAAGTATTATAAATAAGAATAAGAGCCACAGATCTGAAGTTTATTCTGTTCATGACATTTAAACCCAGTAAAGAAGCCAGTTTATAGTTGAAACTGAGAACTCATATCAGATAGTTGGAGATAAAGAATTAATCACAGTTAGCAGTTACAGAGTACCTTTTGTGTTACACTCACTTTACATACATTATCACAGTAACCTCACAGGTAAGTGTGTTAGCTTTGGTTTATAGATTAAGTCACTGAGACTACATGAGGTTAATTTACTTTCTCAAGGTTACAGAGTCGTGAGTGGAACAGCTAGATTTAAATCCAAGTTTGATTCTAAAAACCCATGCTTATATTACTCCATCACATTGTTTTACAAATGGAATGTCATTGTAGCAAATTTCACATCCTGCTGGACTATTGCGACAACCTGGAATCAAAATATTTGAACTTGGATTTGGTTTCCTATAATAGTCATGAAACATTGATAAGACTTCTGTAAACTTTACTTTCTTTAGTAAAAGTAAAATAATAAATAGATGACAGCTAGATAGCCACAAAAATGAGTGATGGACAGATAGATGTAACAGAAGCATAGACATTATACTATCTAATAAAAGAGTAATATGCAAATTAACCATCACTCCAAGACGCAAGATGGCCACCCCCATGTGAACAAGATGGCTGGCAAGGGAGGGCAGGTGTGGGCAGTTGGGGGTGATCAGGCCATCAAGGGAGGGCAGTTGGGGGAACCAGGCCTGCAAGTGAGGGCAGTTGGGGGGGACCAGTCCTGCAAGGGAGGGTAGTTAAAGGGGACCAGGTCTGCAGAAGATGGCATTTTTGGGTAATCAGGTCAGCAGGGAGGGCAGTTAGGGGTGACTGGGCCAGCAGAGGAGGGCAGTTGGGGGTGACCAGGCCTGAAGGGAAGGGCAATTATGGGGGGCCAGACCTGTAGAGGAGGACAGTTGGAAGGGAGATCCAGGTCTGCAGGGGAGGGAAGTTGGTGGTGGGGAGGCAGGTCTGCAGGGGAGGTCAGTTAGGGGAGACCAGGCCAGCAGGGAAGGGCAGTTGTGGGGGGACCAGGCTTGCAATAGAGGACAGTTGGGGGGGACAATTAGTGGGGACCAGGCCTGCAAGAAGAGAGCAGGGGTGACAGTTAGGGTTGACCAGGCCAGCAGGGGAGGGCAGTTAGGGGCAATTGTGCCAGCTGGGGAGCAGTTAGGCATCGATCAGACTGGCAGTGGAGTAGTTAGAGCACATGTGTCAAACACAAGGCCCGCTGGCCAAATCCGTCCCGCCAGGCCTTGCAATGTGGCCCGCACCGCGCTGTCATTACTGCACTCCGCTGCGTTTCCATCACAATGATAGTTTATGACTGTTCATTAAACCATTCGGCCCGTGATTTAGGCTGGATTTTAGATTTTGGCCCCTTCTCTGATTGAGTTCGACACCCCTAAGTTAGAGGGTGATCAGGCTTGCAGGCAGAAGCAGTTAGGGGAAATCAGGCAGAGGCAAGTGAGCAGTTGGGAGCCAGCAGTCCTGGATTGTGAGAGGAATGTCCAACTGCCCATTCAGGCCCTACAAGATCTGGCCTGAATGGGCAGTTGGACATTGCTCAAGGGGCCCCAGATTGGAGAGGGACACCCTCTACCCCATGCACAAATTTTATGCACTGGACTTCTAGTTATTGGATAATTCCACTTGATCAACAAAATGTGTTGAGCTAAAATCTGAATCAAGGAATTGTGTTCACCATCTGATTTGTGATAGTTATATAAAGCCATTTCAAATGCAGGTTTGAATGAAAATTATTGCAGTTTATAACTAATTCACAACTGGTTCTACTATTTAAGAAAAAATGATTCAACTATTTTGACTTAATTTAGTTGGCAGAAATGACAATGGAGTCATAGTATAGGCCCCCATGACTCTGATACTATATTATCATCTCTTCCCCAAATGCTCTTGTATGTGACAGCATGACCCTTACTTAGCACAGTTCCTGAAGAACAATCACAATAAATATGTGTTAAATAAAAGAGAAGAGGAAAGGAAAGGAGAAAGAGAGAGGAGGGAAGATAAGAGAAAAACAGACTGGTTGAACCTATTACAGGAAAGTAAAATCATATTTGATACAAAGTATTTTTAAAAATTCTACAATTAAGACAAAATGGGTTTCTTCCCTTCATAAAAAATTTACAAATTTTGATATGTGATAACTATGTTACTTATTAATATTGCCTTTTTATACTACCTGAGAATAAATTTTAAGAAATCCTGAATTAATAGTGTTGAACCAGAGGCTGTACTTGGATCTTTATTGCTTTTACTCAATGGCTCATCACCTAACCTCATTATTGTTTTCTATGACACTTCATAGAGCCCTTCATCACACCTTTCAGTCTTCAAAGTCAGAGAAATGAGAATTAAATTGATTCCAGAGTTACTAAGTGGCAGATAACCAGAATATTGATATAGAGACTTTGACACAACTCCAAAACATTAATCACATTTTGTATAAATAATGTTGGTCATAATATAGTCCTGCCTTCAATTAACATAATTTTCTATCTCATTAAATTTATGTCCTACTAATTGAATTTTGCCCTCAATATGTTGATTTTACATTGTCAAAATTGTACACTGATTTTTCAAACTCGTATTGTACAATCAAAACAACCACAAAATGTAAAGGTGTTTACATGGGTTGAAATTCAGGTAAAGGTTTGAAATTGGGGTCAAACTCCTGGAAGATGGTTTTTTTTCTTTTTTTCCCTTTTTCAGCATTCACCATCTCTGTAATCCTGCCCAACTTCCTAAATACACAGTAAAAATCCAGCTCAAGAAGTCAATTTAGCCCTCAGAGGCAGGAATAAACTAATTCCCAGTGGGTATTATTGACAAGAAAAAAAATTAAAGTAAAATAAGATGAAAACTAAGAAATAGTCCAAATCAAAATATAAAATTCTCCTTCTTAGGTGGGAAGAATAACACAAATTCAAGGAAGCAGGTATTGTAAGAAAAAGTCCATCTTTGTTCTTTCATGATCTGTTAGAATAGAGAGAGAAAGACGTAATAAGCATAAACAGGTTTTTTTTTTATGGTATGAGGCAGGGATGGGAAATCTTTTTCTATGAGGGCCATTTAGATATTTACATGAATGAATAACATCATTTATGGGCCATACAAAATTATCAACTTAAAAATTAGACTGCTCTATTTAGTCAAACATTTAATTAACTCACTAATGCCTTGGCAGGGCCAGACCAAGTGACTTCACAGGTCTTATATGGCCCCCAAGCCAAATGTTCCCCCACCCCTGGGAGGAGTAAGATATAAATAATCAACATAAATGTCTTATACATTAAAACATTTTGACTTGTAAAGGACACAGACAACAGGGAGGTGAGGTAGTGATTGGGGGAAATGAGGGAATAAGGACACATATGTAACACCTTAATCAATAAAGACATTTTAAAAATCTGATTTGAAATAATTACATGTGTATTTTTGAAATATGATATTTAAATAACTCTAGATTTTGAATCACTTAGGCCTCTGGATAATTTAATTTTGCTCAGTATATGCTTTTTCTGAGTAATTTTTCTGGTTTCCAAGTAATCCAGAAGAATAATTAAATCATGAAGCTATATCAATTGTAGACATATCGAATGGTCAAATAATCTTGCTATACAAACAACCCTAACCAAGATATAACTATATCCTAAAAAGGCATAAGGAGGAATGCCAATTGAAATAGACATCATCTGCAATTTTTGTCCTGTCAAACCCACAAAGTAGTGTGTGTGTGTGTGTGTGTGTGTGTGTGTGTGTGTGTGTTAAGATATACAGAGCTGGTGACAGTGAAGCAAAGCAGAAACTCATTCATTGCTGAAATTTTAAATCTCTAAAATTCTTTTAGAAAGAAATCAGACTATATTCATCTTTAAAGACTATTACAATTTCACATACTGTATCATTTATTCTTTAAGGTAAACTTATAGTAAAAAAAAATCAACAGCATCCAAATATATTTTTAAAAACCTCTGCATTTAAATTTTGGGTTATGATGGTCTATTCAATATGCTGCTAATTTTAACACAGATTATGGGTAAGTAAGCTATAGTGTATCCTTTTAATAGACTATTACATGAATATTAAAATTACTTTAAAATAATTTGTAAATAAGCTAGGGAATGCTTATTTTATGTTAAATGAAATACAATAGGATACAATAGTATATATGTAATATTATCATAAGTATTTAAAACAAAATCAAGGAAAGTGCAGAGGAAAAGTAAGAGAAAGATATACTAAAATGATGGTGGAGTTTTCCTGAGTAATGGAAGTAAAGCTTAATAACCTGCCTTTTCTTTCTAACGTTCTTTAATTTCCAAAGTTTCTGTAAATAGCCCAGCTTATTTTTTATGATGAGGGGAAAGTATACTAAGATTTACTCTAAAAAATAAAAAAATGAAGTTAGAGTACATCTATTGATCAAAAGATGGGAGCTGGATATCTCTATTCTTAAAATATATGTATATATATATATATATATATATATATATATATATATATATATATATTCATTCATTTGGCATCATTGGTTGATTGCCTCCTGCATGCTCCATGCTAGGAATCGAGGCTTCAATCGAGGCATATGCCCTGACAGGAAATCAAACCATGACCTCATAGGTCAATGCTCAATCACTGAGCCACACCAGCCAGGCTGGATATCTCCTTTCTTTCCCCTTCATTTGCTTTCCAGGGGAATCTGTGTTCAGAGCAAAATGGTGCCTACATTATGTGTATTATATGTACACATTTAGGAAAAGGATGTAGGGACATAAAGATGAGTTGAGAAAAATGTTATTGGCCTTGTGATTTATAAGCTATGTTTTAGGATTAATCATCTTATTCTTATCCTTCAGGCATTGTTATACACTATATCTCTATTGAAAAACACATTTAGATCTTCCCCTGAAGAACAAACGTGATTGTCTTTCAACTACCTCAACTGTGGGAGAACTAATGGCCAAAGAAACTGAGCTACTTGAATGTCCACATCCATAACAACTTATACTGAGTAGAGGAGTTATGGTACCCAGCCTTAGACAGGAAATTAGTAAAATGAACATGCTAACTTTTCATTAAAATGAAGAATTCAATTTATGCAAAAAGTCAAGTATGGAACTTTTCACATTATCTCATTAAAACAAATACAATCCCACAATGCCAGAAGGCTATTCATGCAATTAACCCTACAGTTAACAACAGAGATATTGAAAAGAGGTGTTTGAGGGAGAAAAGTCAAGTTCTCAGAATTTAAAATGAGCATCTGTGTATCACGTTAGGCATTATGTTCTGTTTTCCAGGGGGTTTATTGAATTACATGCTTTATACAAAACATCTAATCAGAAGGGCAAGCCACAGTGTGCTAACCACATGGAGAACACATTGATCCTCTCTAATTAAAACAGGGGTAGCTTAGACTTAAAATACTCTCCAAAACTATTTTTACTATGAAACGTCAATGACATGCAGGCTCTTTCAGGGCATGAAAATTGATCAGTCACATGATCAGACTGGACCCAGTTTTAAAAAATTCCCAGTTGGAGGAAATCTAAGTGAAGTTATAAAAACAACAGCTCCTCTAAGAAATCTAGTCCTCCTTAATCAGATAAGTGTGCTTAACTTCCATTTTTTTCTTCGAGATATTCTGCCTTGGTAACACAAACTCGGGTCAGAACAAGGAGATGGGCGAAGTCTATGCTGTACATCCAGGCAGTTTCTGAATCTCACCTTTCCAAATGGTCAGTGCACATCGATGTTGAGGAGCACTGGTGAGGTAAGGAGGTGGAGCTGGATGCATACTTGTTTTTGTGGTTCCTGATCTGTAAACAGAAAGAGACATCAGTGGACAGAATTCCTTTTTTTTAATTTATTTTTATTTTTATTAAAATATATATATATATTATTGATTTTTTTATAGAGAGGAAGGGAGAGGGACAGAGAGCTAGAAACATCAATGAGAGAGAAGCATTGACCAGCTGCCAATGCACATGCCTCTGACCAGAACTGAACCCAGGACCTTCCAGTCCGCAGGCTGATGCTCTATCCACTGAGCCAAACCAGCTTTGGCCAGAATTCTTAATTATGTCTCCTTTTGTCAGATGACACTGCCTTGATCATTTTCATAGGAAAGCAAAACCAAACTTTTGTATATTGGCTTACACTGGTTATGATTCAGTAAATAAAGATGCTATAGCTATTATCTTCCCAATACTATCTCATTTTTTAAAAAAATATATAAATTGCTTAAAAAATTGATTTTAGAGAGGAGGGGAGAAGGAGAGAGAGATAGAAACATGGCTAATTCCTGCACACCCCCTACTGGGGATCCAGCCCACAACCCAGGCATGTGTCCAGACCAGGAATCGAACTGTGACCTCATGGTTCATGGGTTGATGCTCAACCACTGAGCAGAACCAGTTGGGCAAGACTATCTCATTTCTTTCTTTCTTTTTTTTTTTTTTTTTTTTCTAATATTTTATTGATTTTTTACAGAGAGGAAGGGAGAGAGATAGAGAGTTAGAAACATTGACGAGAGAGTGTCATCAATCAGCTGCCCCCTGTACACCCCCCACTGGGGATATGCCCGCAACCAAGGTACACGCCCTTGACCGGAATCGAACCCGGGACCCCTCAGTCCCCAAGCCGATGCTCTATCCATTGAGCCAAACCGGTAAGACTATCTCATTTCTCTCTCCATGCTTTAATCCACACTCTAGTTCTTACCAAACTTCCACACTAGATATTATTTGAGAGCAGAGAACATGTATAATATGAGTTTTAACTATCTGAAGCAGTTACAGAGCACTTTTTAAATGCTGAATAAAAACTCACTAACTTCAGATGATGGGTGAAGGTAAATCTAAGCCTACCACTCTCCAGTTTTTAGTGCTTCCCGTGGCTCCTAGGATAAAGACCAAATTCTTAACATGACCTCACAGGTCCTGTTTCATCTGGCCTCTGGCTACAACTCCAGCTTTGTTTTGAACCTTTTGTCCATTGCTCTTGTGTGTTTAGGCCACACTAGACTTCCATGAACTTCATGATCAGTGTCATCTTCCTTTCTACCTCAGGGTTTTGCACTTGAAGTTCCTCTGCCTAGAGTGCTCCTCTACGCCCTCATCACATCGCTGACTCACTCGTTCTTCAGAGCTCAACTTGAAAATTCACTTTCTTGGAGAATATCCTGTTCACTAGGATTTATCCCCCACCATGTAATATCCACTATTTTCTCTTCAGAAACTCATGGAAGTTTGGAATTCACAGTCATTTTTGTGATTATTTCTTTCATATTGGTCATTAACTTCAAGCTACAAGTTTCATGAGAGGAGGAACCATGCCTGGTTTTATTTACCACTGTGTCTTCAGTCGCTACCATAGTGTTTGGCACATGGGTCATGGTCTAATAAGTATTTGTGGCATACATGACCCTGAAGCCATTCCCTCAATAGTATTCTCCAAGTATTGGCTTAAATTATTCAGATGCAATAAAATATTAAGAAAAATACATGAAAAATATTTCCTTTTATACAATTCTCAGTAATTCTCTTACAATGAAATTAAAATTTTACAAAAAAAATTGCTACAAGAAAAAGCAGAAATAAATAAAATTCAGTGTTTCCTTTGTCAATCTCTTTTATTGAATTCCTAGAGTCATTCTCCCCTCTGACTCCACCCCCCCAAAAAAAATTGCGTTAACATGATTTTAAACAGCAGCCCCATCCTAAGTGGTATGACATTACAGTTAGATATATACAGTAGTTCTCCCATTCTTGACTGTGTTAAGCAAATAGATAATTTCTGTTTTAGAAAGGCAGAATTATTAAATGAAAAAAATGAAAATAAAATATTTCTTCTTTGCAACAAAATTTACACTTTAGCCAATATCCATTTCAGAGAAAACAGAAATATTTCAGTGGCACTTTTATAAAAATAATGTGGCTCTGGAAGAGTTGAGGACAGGGTGGAAAAAAAACAAAGATGTTTTCTTATTTATTCTCTGAGACTCTTAGCATCTCCTGCATGCCCTTAATGTGAAGATGGACACTTCTCAAGTTAAAAAAAAGAAAAATGATCTAGCTACATCCAGTTCCTGTACTAGTAACTTCTCTTCCTGATATTATACTCCCTTGGTTCTTATTTGAAAGTCTGCTTTAACTAAGTAAATGCACTTGGTATTGCATTGTTGACTCAATTTTAGGAACAGATACAACTATAGGAATTTGAATAACATGTGTCTGTACATTGTCAAGTAGCAGAAAAAGAAAAAAACTGAAAAAATGAGGAACCACAGGTTATATGTGAAGAGCCAGGAGTTCTGAAGTGTGGCACATTCCCCATTCCTTCTCTGGTGAGCCCTGTTTTCTTTTTGGCTACTCTCCTTGAGTGACTACAGCATCCTCATGAAAAAACTTTGCTTCACTGTCACAGCTAATTTCCTCAACTTACTCTGCTCCTGCATCCCATGGGCCATTCATTTTATACCAATTTTATTTCCTATGTGTCTCTAAAAAAGAACATTTTTATCTATTTATTTATTTATTTATTTATTCATTTATTTTTAGAGAGAGGAAGGGAAAGGGAGAGAAATATCGATGGGCTGTCTCCTGCACGCCCCCTACTGGAAATCGAGCCTGAAATCCAGGCATGTGCCCTGACCCAGAATCAAACTGGCAATCTGTTGTTGCATGCAACAACACTCAACCAACTGAGCCACACTGGCCAGGGCTCTATGTGTCTCTTTTATTTTACCCTTTGTCTCCAGCCTTTGTGCCTCATTCTTCTTGGCTAGTGTATTAGTTGAACTGCATTAAATTGTCATTTTTGTTTGATCAAAATGGTTGGATATTGGAAAGTATATATGATTTAACCTAATGACAGCCTTCTAACTAATTAGTGTTACTGACCTAAGTCTTTCTTCTCTCGAACACATCCTTCTTATTGCTTCTTAGGCAAACCTTGACAAATCCTAAATGTCTTTGTAGCTTCCCCATTAACTAGAGAATAAAGTTCAAAAGTATCTTGAGTCCCATGATTGAGTGACTCTAACCTAGAGCTCTAGGTAGATCTCCTGCCTCTCCTCTTCATGCAAACTCTGCTGTGATTCACTAATCTACTCACTCTCCTAGAGACCTGCCAACACTCTTTAACACCTAATTTCTGTAGAGCAAGCATGTCAAGCTTGCAGCCTTCAGGCCGCATGCAGCCCACAGCGAATATTTTTGCCGCCCATCAATGTAACGGTATGTAAGAAACATAAGAAACGTTTTAATAAAATTTTGTAACAAGTTTTACAATATCCTGTTATACATAATTATCAATAATGAACTACAATGTTCTTTAATGACTGATTACTATAATCGTGTTGCATTCATTTCTCTTACACACCTTATGCCCAGATGCACCATTTCTCTCCACTAATACTAGCAGCGAATATTTTAGCAACCGACTGCCATGTCATTAATCTTGGACTGACTTGTTTGGTGCGTACAACAGGAAATATTTCGCTTGTGGAGAACAAGAAATCTAGGTCTATTTGCATTATGCTTATTAATTTGTGCAGTTATTCAGTGTCTGGTAAGCTAATGTTCAAGGACAAATATTAATTTTTATTAAATGTTCTATTATTTTATGTTAATGATGACTCATTTATTTCAGCCCTTTGTAATCAGCATGTCTATTGAAATAAACCTACGTTTCGAAATAAATTGAAGTTTTTGCCTTTTTGAACTTGACTCTTGGACCGAATTATTTTCCTGTGGCAATTGTGGGGAAAGGATTGAAATATGAGCGGCCACACTGCCGCGTCTGAACACAGCCCAGTTGTTTGGTCTACTGCCATGGCTTGGTGGCTGCGGGGCTGTCTGTGGTTTGGCTGAGCACATCTGATGCCTGTGTTCCCAAAGCCACTCCACCCCTGTCTGGTGATCATTGTTGGTTTAGCTGTGAGGTTTCTTCCAGGATGACCCACGTGCACCACAGATTGTAGCTACTCATTAGCAGAGTTCCTTCGGCTCACCCCACATCAGCTCACTACTTTCTCCCCATCTACTGAACAGCTGAGGGTATAGTAGTATAGTCTGAATTTCAATGCCAAATTTGTAACATATTATAAAGGCTTGCTGGATTCCCGAAGAATACAGAGAAAGCTATTCAATAATTACTTACCTCCTAACAACTCGAATTACCAGAACCCTTATTACAGATCATCCTGCCCCCACAGCTATCCCCTCCCTCTCCTGCCTTCCTGTTAGCTGGCTCCATTCCATTCACCTTCAAATGGTCACACGCCTCCTTATCTTGGGAAATGAAATACACAGAAACACCTGTGCTTGACTGCTTGCTTCTTCCCCTTCACGCAAGTGTAGCTCAAAACCTCGCCTTCCTTTTCTACCAGCTTCTATATGTGACGCATCTGTTCTTCCTGTTTCCTGACCCCCTCAACTCCCTCCTAAATAATAATCCAAAGTACAAAGCACTTCCTTTTTGCCAGGCACTGTTCTAACCATTTAACAAATAGTAATTTCTTTTATTCTTTCAAGTTGGTACTATGATCATCTCCTCTGAACAGATGGGAAAACTGAGGCACAGAGAGGTTAAGTAACTTGCCAAGGGCAATCCACTGGTAACTTGCAGAACGTGGATTCAAATGCAGGCAGTCTGGTTGAGAATGTGTGCCAACAGTACTTGACACTTCCTTACTGTCCTCAACTCGCTGCAATTGGATTTTATCCTCATGACAGTAAAACTAGGCTCTTGGAAACGTTAGGTATTTACTGTCAGCTCTGGTACTGTGTCACTGATGATAGATACATCTGCACTG